TCAGTTAACAAGTCTAATTCTTTTAAAAATGCAATAATTAAATGAGAACTTATATTAGTAAAAAGATCCTTCATGGTTCGTGCTTTGAAATAGTTATCCCTTGTGATGGAATATTCAACACAGTCAAGCAAGACATGCTTGACCGTGATTCTTTCATCACAAGGGATACAAAACGGAGGATCCTCACCTTTTAATAGGTACTCATGAATATATCTTGTGTGGCCAATACGACATCGTCGTATGATGACCTCTTCAAATCTGGACTGACAACCCAAGTAGGTGTAACCGATAGTTGGTTTTATTGCATGTAATTTATTGATACCTACTTGGCTGTCCCACTTCTTTTGCATCAGATCACGGATATAAGATCTAATAGCTAGCTTTGTAATCAGAGTATAGGATCAGAAGTGGTGTCACAGATTTGTTGAGTGCTGCCTTAGCAGCAAGATCGGCCATTGTGTTCCCAGAAATGCCAACGTGGCTGGGTAACCAACAAAAGACGATGTCGCATTGGCCAGTAGCAAGCTCATTATACAATTCAAATAATTTCTATTAAAAAGTGGATTTCTAATAAAAGTGGATGTTTACAAGAAAGATTTTAATAGCCTGAAGGCACGAAAGAGAATCGGAAAAGATTATGCATTGTTTATATTTACGGTGTTTATTAATATATTTAAGAGCTGTTAATATGGCGTTAGCTTCTTGCTGTGAAAATAGAGTTAGAGTGTTATTTGTAAAGATAGTTTTAACGGCGTTGTGGAAGAGATGGCTCATCGGCCTCGAATAAGAAGTGTAGGGGTAGTTTGGTCCCCTCCCACTTTGAGTTGGAAACAACTCTTAACAGATCAAGTGCCTTCAGGCATTTAGCTTTAAGGGATTTAATATGAGGCAGAAAGGTTAAATGTGAATCGAAAATAACACAAGAACTTTGCCTCCTTCACAACTTTGATGGGTGTGCCATTTAGAGATAGGTCAGGGTCTTTATGCGGTTTGTATTTACGGCAGAAATGGATACAATTAGTTTTGGATTTAGAAAATTTAAAGCCGTTTTCAAGACACCATTTATTTATTTTGTTTAAAGACATCTGCATTTTTGCCGTTCAATGGTATGCATATTTTACCACGACAAGAAATATTAAAATCATCCACAAGAGGTGATCCATCAATTGAATCATTTTAAAATCTTTGATAAACTGTTGATCTTGATACTAAACAATGTTACAGACAAAATACTGCCTTGCGGGACACCCTGATCCTGATTGTAATGGTCAGACAGGGTTGAACCCACTCGTACTTGAAATTTCCTGTCATTTAAAAAGTTGGATATAAATTGAGGCAAACGGCCTCGTAATCCAAAGGCATATAAATCTTTTAAAATCCAAAGTTTCCATGTCGTGTCGTATGCTTTTTCTAAATCGAAAAAGATTGACACTGCATGCTGTTTATTAATTATGGCATTTTTCACAAAGGATTCTAAACGCACTAAATGATCGATGGTACTACGGTCTTTACGGAAACCACATTGTATATTAGTTATAAGGTTGATTGTTGATCATGCGTTCCATGTTTTGCAACACTGTATTAGAGGTGAAGAAACTATCTCTTCGGGGGATTAACAGGAGATCGACCCCTTACTTTCCTCGAAGGTGACAAGCTATGTGTCCTACCATGGTTGTGGTCGGACACATCCATGTCCTCGAGTGATCCAAACTTATTAAATATTTGGACCGATTATTAGCCCCTTTCGGGTTCTACCACTTTGATTCTTTTTATTTGTTTCAGCTCTAGATCTGGACTTGATTTTTTCAATTTGTTTCTCATTTATGTCTGATTTTGATTTTTGAGATGATGTTTTTGTGTGAGATGAGGACGAATCCTTATCGCTAGATGCCGTAGACTGATTTAATGTTTGTGAACTGGATGTTTGTGTAGGTTTCACATGTATTGCGGCAGATATCAAAGTTGGAGCAGAAGATTTTGCCCAAGTGTATTCGGTCTGGCAAGCTACCGATTTACATGGAATAGATCTGGGAGTTGAAGTTGAAGCAGAAGTAGAAGCAGTTGCGGCGGCATAAGACGGGCCAGGAGTTTCCTGAGCCATGACATATTTCTTAGCCTCGAAAAAGGTGATATTTCGGTCATGTTTGACACGTGAAATTTTTGACTGGAGTTTCCATGTCGGGCTTTCTCTGGAAGACGAGGGATGACTTCCAGAATAGTTTGCACAAGCAGACGGGTTATTGCAGAGGTTACTGTCTTCACATTTGCCTCCACATCGGTGGCAGGCAGCTGGATTATGGCATGATTTGGAGCCATGGCCATAATTTTGGCAATTGTAACACCTCAGGGATTCGGAATGTAGGCATCGACCCTTAGGTGACAATAACCAGCTTTAAGTTAGTTAGGGCCGGATGGAAGACAGAAAGTAAACAAGTATGTATTGCTTTTTAGAATTTCATTTTCTCTTTTAAACGTAAACCGTTGTACAGCAGTGACTCCTTGAGAGTGTAACTCTGAAACAATGTCTGCTTCAGTCATGTCAGCTAAGCAACGTCCTACATCACGGACGATGCCTTTGCTATTGTTGAGTGTCCTGTGAGATGAAACCTTTACAGGAACATTGGCCAGAGAATTAGGTGAAAGCAGAATTAGTGATTGTATTTGTTTCTTGCATTCAATAAGGAGAGATCCAGATCGTAAGTTTTTAACTTCTTTGACTTCGCAATAGCAAAAGGATTCATTTTAAGGGGACCATCATTTGGATCAGACATTACAAGAAAGCGAGACCAATTTGCAGGATTTGTGAGAGCTGTAGCAGCCTCGTCCTCCGACGAGAATGAATCATCTGATTCATGCGAACGTTTTTTAAGTGGTGGTGCCATGATTGTATTGAATATGATTCGCTCTCCTAGCTCCCCACCCACCATGGAGTGTCAACGAGGAGGATGCCTTATGTCTGTGGATCTCCAACAGACGGCACCAAGGATACTAGGAGAGTATACTCAAGCAGGAAAATACCTTGAAAAGATAGATCCTACCAGATTGGCCCATGAGCTCACCGCCTTCTGGCATAGGACTCTAGGCAAATTGCAAAAGTAATAACGTGTGCTTTTAGCAAATAGGAAATAGCCAGAACCAAACAATAAATTTTCGAAAAGTCAAAATTGTGCAAAAATACTTACCATGCACAGGGCTTGGCGTGACCAGCCGATTGATAGAACCGGGCCAGTTCTACCTCCCGTCAAGGTGAAGTAAGGGGCGAAGTGGTGTGTTGGGCAAAGGAACGCTATACCTGGAACCAGTGCCCTCAACCACCAGACTCCCGTCCTCCACCGACACAGGGGCTCAACCCACGGCAAACGGGTTGGTGGACCAAATATACCCCCGGGTCCACAACGGGGGGTTGAAGAGCGCTTAGCGTTACCCAGCACCCACCACGAGGAGGTGGCTCTTCACGGGTGCCGATCACGTCCAGGTTTCGGTATGGGCACAACAATGGCATCACGCCATGATGATGGGAATGTACCAGATGTCCAAATATCATCAAATATATTGAACAAGGTTTGTAAGCATGGTTCTGGTAAATGTTTCAGGAGTTGATAATGGATGTTATCAGCTCCTGTAGCAGTATTATAAGCTTGTTTAAGAGCACCATGGAGCTCATGAATAGAAAAGATTTCATTATAATCCTCTCCATTATCTGAATTGAAATTAATTATTTTATTTTCTTGTTGTTTGTGATATTTTTTAAATTGAGGCACATAATTTGAAGAGGAAGAGGAAGGTTGAAGAGCTCTTAGCGTTACTCAGCACCCACCATGAGGAGGAGGCTCTTCACGGGTGCCTGTGGTTAATGAGAACACAATGTTTCTGTGCCATTTTACCACTAAGAATTTAGATCAGCAGCAAGTTTGTATGTGAACATTTAACGTCGGTCACTGACTTCACTGGAGAGTCTGTCGAATCTTTCTGTCGAAAACTCATGCTTGACGCAATTTAATTTGTGTGTCGTAACAACTTTCCAAGTCAAGTTAGCTCTACACGCCTTTTTTTGTCGTAGAATATCTGTTGTTTTATTGCGGCTAAATATCAGTACAATCGCCAGTGGCTGAAGAGGGTATAAATCCAGCTTGGGTCCAGGTAGCCAAGGTACTGTAAGTCCCTATGGTCCCTAGAGTGGTTATCTGCCTTTAGTTGTTGGCGATCTAAGCCCCTTTTTATATTGTATTGTCCTAATTTGAAATCCTATTTTAGAGATATATGCTAGTTATATTTCTTGTTACTGTGATAGACTAGTTGGTTTTACTGTCCTTCGTTGACATGTTTTTAATATTTATGCATTTATCATGAATTTATAACTATTTTAAGTCACGATATGGTTGAAATACTGCTGCTGTGACAATAACTTTAACTCACTCACTCACTCACTCTTGGCGTGACGATTGATCATATTCTCCACTCATCCAACCCACCTACTCCTATGGGTATGGCGTAGAGAAGTCAGGAAACATATTCAGCTTGAACTGGCCTTCCACAAACCACATTATGTATTTAGATAGGTTTCTGTGGTGCCCAAGGGACGCAACTCTGACCAGCGAATATACTGCACCGGTTTGTTATCTCAATAACGTACTTGTTTCTAGATCCGTGACTTGCATAAACAGCCTTAATAAGAGCGTGTTGGGTTGACTATAATAGCTGTGAGGTATCTTCCTGTGGATCTAGACCAAGCATCCTCGCTCCCCGAGAATAAACAGTGCTGCTTATTTGGAACTGGAGCATTGGTCGGGACAATTCCTTCTTCAGCGTATAACAAAGTCACGCGGAACGTAAACAGGGACGTAAAGTCAGTTACAAGCGTTCGACACGAACAGGGCTCCTTTTTAACATGGAACTGGAACATTGGTTGGGGTGATTACTTCTTCAGTTTCGTAGCAAAGTGTAACGGTTGTGTGTTCAAGAAAGTCAATCACGAGCGTTGGTCGCAAGTACTGATCACCATGGAAGGTGAGCGGTAAGTACTTGTTCCTCTCACTATTCTGCGTGAGTGCAGTGCTTTTTCCGGAGCCATCTTGTTTCTAAATGAGTCGAACTGGTCACGATTGTACGTGTGTATGCTGCTAATCACAGGGAAGTAATCGTTAAATTTAAACATGGGCGCAAACAGAGCAATGTACGCATGTCATCAAATAGCAACAGCAACTTTTGTTCACTGTTGTATTGGTAACATTTATTTAAATGCGTCTATCACTCAACTAAATGCACATTATTACGTCCCTTGCGAGGGCAAGAATCGACCAAGTCCATACCCAAGTTAGACCTAATGTTGATCCTTGGTTTGTAGGCACCATAGTCATTTTTGTAATTAGCACTAAGCAGTATCCACACGCAAGGAATTCTAAAACGTCATTCAAACCCAATCAGTGATTCTTTGTAGAATTCCCGAGATTCTGGACTACCGGAATGAGAATGGTCATGGATGGTCGTTCTACAAAAACGACGGTCTTCTTCGGATGATTGTTACAACTCCTGAAGCTGATATGGAAATGCTCCGAAAAGTTGTGAAATTCGAACTTAGGGACGATGACGTCTTGATTGCAGCATATCCCAAATGTGGTAAGAACCCATCCTGAACAATATACTGTATGAATGAGTAATCTATTGTGTGAATGAATGGGTTTTTTAACTCTGTAGTAAACAGGTTGTTCTGTGACACAAGAAATTCATGATTTGGAGTGAACCTGATTTGTGAGCTATGCACTGTGTAGATCATGCTGACGAAACACAATCACCATTCAAACAGGTGTAAAGCCCAATTCACTCACTCACACTGTGCTGTCTATTCTGATCCTCCAGGTACCCACTGGTTGTGGGAAATAGTCACTATGCTCAGGGCCGGTAACTCTGAGTACAGCAAGAAGGCGAAAGGGTTCGCCATGCTGGATCCGCCACACTTTGAGCGGGCTGATAAACTCCCCTTCCCGAGAGTTCTAAACACACATCTATATTTCCGTCATCTGCCCGAGAAACTGGTGGAGAAGAAGATTAAAACAATCTTGATCCTGAGAAATCCCAAAGATGTCAGCGTATCATTTTAACCATCTGAGCGGAGTAAAAAGTGAGCGACAGGTTTGACGGGACGTATTCAGAATTTCTGGATCTGTTTCTGGAAGGAAAAGGTGAGTGATACGTAGATGATATTACGTTATCTTAAGCTTTATGGTAATATCCATGGCGTCGGATGGCATTATATGTTTATCACCATGTTTTATATGTTGATATCAATATGAAGACATAATTGCTATATTTAATTAACATTTACAGAAAATAGCAGATATAATACTTATCCTTGTCATCAACAGTAAAACCTAATGTAAGTCTTAGTATCGGGTTTCGTGGGTTTCAACAAGATTGAAACATCTGGGACCTGTATCACTTCGGGCTTTCCTCCCTCGTTTACGAAGGAAGCCGTAATTCGACTGATGTGCCTTTCAAAGCAGAGTTATACACTCACTCGTCCATGCATTTAATTACCGGATTCCAAAATCTGTTTATGGCTGTCAGTGCAAACACTGATACGACAACAAATTTAGCGTAACTCTAAAGGGAGTTATGTTAAAAGAGTGAGTGAGTTAAGATTTTAAGTCACATCGGCAATATTTCAGCCATATCATGACTAAATCAAGTTATAAATATATTAACAATTAAAGGTAAATTATAAAATTCTGTCAACGAAGGACAGTAAAAAAACTAGATTATCACAGATATCAATATAAAACCAGTAATTGAATCTAAAATATGTTAACTATACATGACAATACAATATAAAAACAGGCTATAGATTGCCAACGACTGAAGGTAGATCACCATACTAGGGACCTTATGTTAAAAGAAACAATTTAAGCCTTTCTGCGGTTACCCTCGATTTTACTAGGCTAAAGTAACGCCTAGACTCTGGAAGTGTACAATTCATCACGAGACCCCAAGTGAGATGGAATATTCCAGGACTAATTGCATATCCGTTGAGACTGCATCGTCCTCTATGTCGGCATGTCGGTAAGAAGCTAACCAGAGGTAGGTTTGCTATAATGGTCGCCCGGAGATATAGTGGATGGGGCTGCAGGTACTGTGGTTCAGTAGAGACCTTCTGTCACTTTCTAAACTCATAAGATACAAGTTTACTCACGCCCTCATGTGCTGCAGTCTGTGTAAGGGCTGGAACGCTGTGAGCTGCTGGTGAATGTTGGTTCAAATATTTAGACAAGTTGCTCCATAAATGTGCTTCAAATTTCAGATGAATAATTTAATGCTCGGACATAATGCTTCCTGAATGTTGGGTCATATATGCCGATGTGTTGTACAGTTCTGATGGGTTTCAATACTAACATGCTCCTTCCTGGATGTAGGTTTAAAGGCCCGGGTGAACTATAGTGACAATGTGGGTTTAAAGCTCTGACGTATTTAGTCTAAGTAAACTTAGGCTCAGTATTATTCGTTACACTGCTATTCTGAGTCTAAAACAACTGTAGAACGTCGCGTCATGCTAACCTTTGAGCGACCTATGAATGTTCAACCAAACGCGAGACGGCCGAACGGATTTAACCAATCAGACAAGAGAAGCAGAAGGTCGCTGCAGCTAACATTTTCAGTTGACAAAATCAGAACACTGCTTACCAAATCGCGAATGTTAACATTCGCTCGTACCATTTGGACTTTTACCTCGAAAACGTTTGAACTCAAACGATTCCGAACGCTATTATCCGCACGATCGCTTCCGAGTGATACACACGGATGACGCCATTATTCATAACAGTGAGTAAACAGTCGCAGAAAATAGCGATGCCATCTTGCGGAAATATAAACTAATAGTAAACATATCATCAGCAAACCAAAAGCGTATAAACTCCAGATCTATTATCTGTGCTTTATGCGGATTTTCGTTTCTTGAGAGATCAGTGTCAGCGACCGCGAAAGATAAAATCCAAAAAACAGTTTGTAAGTCCCGCCGAACCCTAAATAGTAGCTGTTGTCTGATTGGTTAAATCCGTTCTGCCGTCTCGTGTTTAACAGGACGGTCATAGGTCGCTCAAAGGTTACCTGATGCGACCTTCTACCAGGGTTTGTTAGATTCAGTATAGCAATGTAACGAATAATATTGAGCCTAGGTTTACTAAGATCCTGACGTATTCTGCCTGAATGTGGGTTTACATGCACTGATGTGCTGCTTCCTGAAAAATGAGCTTATATCCTCTGACGTACTTGTTCCTGAATGCGTGTTTCTATGTTCCAACATGCTGCATGGTATAAACTCTGTGACCTGCTGCTGTGAAAGTTGGGCTTAATCGATGCTGTCTGACTGAAGGTGGTTTGGGTTTTGTTTCTGACTTTTGCTGTCGGGCTGGAGGTATAAACACTCCCAGGGTCTGCTCCGCGAATTTGTCTAACTCCGAAATCATAACTGAAGAAGGAATAATAATCATTCACTGCTTTAACACAAGACTTAACATTGTTGTAAATAGTTTGTTATTATTTAACGTCACATCGGCAATATTTCATATCGTAACAATTGATTAGTATACATAGTAAGTAATAGTAAAATAGACCTGTCTACGAAGGACAGTCAACTAGATTATCACAGAGACGAAATTAAAACTAGTTATTTAAAACTGTTTTTAACTATAGATGACTACAACATAAAATATAGATTGCCAACAGCTGAAAATCACCTACTAGGGACCATGGGGACTTACAGTACATTTGCTTCCTTCATGCGGACAAGTTTAAAAAATCTAGTGCTTACACCAAAACTGTATAATTTATTTGTGAGGTCAAAAGCTTTACGAAGTCGATGAAGGCGCAATAAAATTTTGTGCCATTATTAAGTGATATATTGATAAGATTATATATCTTAGGAATATACAATATGTACTGCTGTATTTCTCACTAAAACCAACCCGCTCCTTTATTATTATCCCATAAACATCACACCATGTCTTGAGTCTACTGTTTAAAATACTAGTGAAAACTTTTCCGAGACAAGAGAGCAGAGTGATACCTCTATAGTTATCAGCTACGGAGATACTACCTTTTAGATGAATCGGTACCATAACACCAAGGGTCCAGAGGGTAGGGAAAATACCTGTATGAATAATCTTATTAAACAATAAGACAAATGTATCCAATAGTTTACAACACCCAGCTTTGAGAATCTCATTTATATTACCATCATGCCCCGCAGCCTTAGAATCTTTAAGCAATTTTATGTGAACAGAGATTTCATCAGCTGTAATATCCGAGTCCAATTCTTCCACCGACCTTCTTCGTCGTCCGAATAAATACTTTTCAATACTGACATAAATTCAGGTGGTCTCGATTCTTTCCACCTGTCAGTAGGTTTAGCGTATGCAGAAACATTTGACAATAAGTCACATTTTAAACTAACAACTGCTTGAAGAGGATTATGATAAGAAAATTCTGTAGGATTACCAAATGAAAAGGACGTGATTAGTACATCCCTAGAGGTACTAAGATATAGTCAATAATACTCTGGCCATTTGTATTACATAATGTGAATTTACCAATAACTCTATCTTGACCAACCCTTCCATTTACTATTCTTAATTGATGCATTTTACATAGTATTCATTTACACATTTGTCTCTATTACCACTTGAGAAAGTACCCCGATGTTATTAAAACGCTGTTTCTGAGTTTATATCATCGGTGACGTAATCTTCAGGTAACGGAACAAACTCCGTATCTGTGCATTCATCAAAGGTAATATAATTAGGTTTGGTACCTGTCCGTGAGTTGGAGGTCTCCAATAACACTGATATTACAAAATTCAAAAGCAACGTCAAAAGTCAATAACATGAAATATTATGCGAAGGAAAACTTTTTGCTAATTAAGACAATTTTCTCCTAGATTCATATGCTGAAAGCAAAGTTCATATTGGAAGCTACTTCATTATCTCATAACACAGTCTGGCGCGAATACCTGCATACCCCTTTTACATCTAATGATGATCATGAAAGTCCATCTTGTTTCTCTTACTGTGAAAAAGCTGAAAGACTGAATGAGTATTTCCAATCTATTTCAACAATGGATGAAAACAATGCATGTCCAGCATTTTCAATAAACGAACAGGCGCAATTTTGACACCCTATCTATATCCAAATTTGAAATTGAAGATGTCATCAGATGTGTACATGTGAAAAGGCGTCCGGTCGTGACAGATTAAGTCATCAACTGTTGAAACACGTTGTACACTCAATAAGTAACGTTTTATATGTCTTTGCAAACATGCGTGTACCCTTCTGAGTGGAACGTTGCCAATGTCACGCCTCCCTTCAAAAAAAGCGATCCAACTTTAGCTTCCATCCCTTATAAGTTGTGATGGTAAAGTATTTTGAAAGAGTTGTCTTCAAACACCTGTATAATTATTTTCATGCTAACAAGCATGTATAAATATCAGTCTGGTTTTCAACCGGGACAGTCCGCTGTACATCAGTAATTGAAATATACCATCGGGTTGTGAATCATTGGATAAAAAAGAAACAAATTTGTATGGTATTGTGCGATATATCAAAAGTGTTTGATCGTGTCCGGCACAGAGTATTACGGTTGAAACTTGAAAACTATGGTGTAAGCGGACAGCTGTTGGCATGGTTAGCTAGTTCCATAAGTAATCGCAGTCAGAGTGTATTTGTCAGTGGGTCAGTTTCCAAGCTGAGGACTCTAAGCGCTGGTGACCCACAGGGGTCAGTGCTTGGCCCTTTTTTTTATTCATTGTATACATAAATGATATAGCAGATGAATTAGATTGCTTAACGCGTCTATTTGCTGATGACTCGTCTTTGGGTTACTCTTCACCAGATAGCAGGATTATTGAAATGAATCTAAATGCTAATTTATGTAAGTAAAATATTTGGGGTAAAAGATGGCTAAATAAGTACAACCAAGAAAAGACGGAAGCTTTCCTATTCTCGATGAAAATTGGTATCAATATACAACATCTTTACTTTGATGGTGTTGATATTAAATTTGTTGATAATCATAAACATCTTGGAGTTAACCTTACCCACAATGGAAAATTGG